GTTTTCATGAATGTTTCGTTAGAAATAGGATATATGTCCGTGCATTTGTTGCAAATTTACTCTTCAGTGGTTAATGTATTTGCAAAATCTAGTTTTTTTCTATTTATTTAACGAACGAATGCTATAAATAATCTTCGTATTTTTCATCCGGTAAGTTGGTATACGTTATAGTATCGGGTTTATTGAAGACATATACAGCTAACTTTGCATATTTGAAATGAGTGCCCTAGTGTAAATTACATTGTTACACAGAATAGTGTTCCATTAAATAAGCATAATTACTCTTGAAAATATCAGATATTAGACTTTTAAAAATGATGATTGCTTTTGTGGATTGGTTGAAGTTAGACATTAACACCATTGGATGCTGGCCGGCTCAGTGGTCTAGAGGTTAAGCGCTCGAGCGCAAGACGAATAGGTCCTGGGTTCGAATCGCGCGGGTCGGGATCGTGGATACGCATTACTGAGGAGTCCCACAATCGGACGAAACGGCCGTCCAGTAGTTCCAGGTTTTCTCTGGTGGTCTAGCTTCAACTGACTCATGAATTCAGTTGTTAGATTATCTTTATACTATCATTAAATTTAATCATGAACCAAATAAAGAATATCCATCAAGTTATTATTTTTCATTAAAAGTATAATGAAATTTCTAACTAATTCATTATAAATAACAATTTTAGAAAAATCAGTCGGATATTAGATTCAATTTACTGTTAGTTCATAAAGAAATAAATTAATTATCAATCAACTGAGGCGAAATAAAGCAAAATTAGAGATGATCATAAATATTGAAGTAGTATATCGATGAAAAACTACAAATATTTTGATTTGAATATATCTTCACTTAAATATAATCTGAACTCATGTATGTATAATTTTGTTAGTAGATTAAGCTTATCTCACAAAAAGCAAATTAATAAATTTTTGTTTATTGGTAAGATTGACGGACCAATATAATCTATTCACTAGTATAGGGGTTGTGGAGATTATTAAGTTTTTGATTGATATCACTAACCGGTTGATGTTAGACCACCTTTGGAAACCTGGAAGCACTGGATGGCCAATTCGTTCTATTGTGGGACTCCTTAGCAGTGTGTATCCACGATTCCGCTCGCGGGATTCGAATCCAGAGCCTTCGGTCTCGCGCGCGGACGCTTAACTTACTGGACTACTGAGTTGGCATCCAATCGTGATTGTATCTAATATCAACCAATCCACGAAATTGCGCAACCATCTTTCATTGTACTGAGGTAGATACCTGTCTATTCATCTAAGCATAAATAATATTTAGCTAGATTGTAAACTAATAATGTTTTTATATTATTGAGTAAAGCATACGCTCCACCTACTTTATACATACACTAGAAAGATATGTTTGATTATAGTGGATAATTAAAGTATTTATAATCTGAATGCAATGTTATTGATAATTATTTCATGAAACTAGTTCTCAAATTGTGATGAAATGAATTTCAGACACAAGATAATCAGTGGCAGGCTGAATATGTTGATAAATATATGTGAATTTAGGATATTATTTATGAATATGTAAAGTGTACAGCTTAATTAGTGCCTTGATATATGATTGTTAGATAACAAATTGTAGACAAAAGGTTACATAGTAATCAACGCTCATCCAATTCTGCGAAATCGAAGTCCGTCATAATCAATAGTGTATTTTATTTTTATGTCTTAGTTGACTACCGAAATTCATTCATTTATTAAACAAGCAGTTTCTACTTATTTAAATTGTCTATCTCCCTCGTATCTTTACTTAATTAAATATTTTGATGAAGATTTTGGACTACATTGAGCAAATGAAATAACCTTCATCAAAGCATTCAAACAAATGAATATTATTATCTCACTTATGACTATTTCATAGATAGATTTAAAACATTCAAGAGAGCGATCATGATTAGTGAAGTTTAGTTATGTTAGATATTCAACCACAAATATCAAATAATAATGGCAGCGTCATTACATCGATTAACTGTAGTTGTAAATGTCAACAACAGAAAAATAGCTTTATAGATCCACAATACCATACAAAATAAATTCTGAAGGTTTTAGCTTGAATGTTATGTGTATTCACTTATATTCACTCATAAAGAGAAGTAAACTAAAACGAAATGACTGTTCATTACCCTCTGATTTCGCAAAGTGATTTAATTTATGTCAGTTAATGAAAAAATAATTTCTACTTAGGTGAGATTAGTCGGAACAGCAATCCTTCGAAGAAAAACAATGTTTTCTCAATAAACATTCATCGGGAAAAAACTATATACTGCAATTTATTCTCTTCATAATAGCTATTTAAGTACACTATAAAATGTCTATTACCTAAAACATCCTTTTACTCTGTTTCAAGGACTTAATTTAAACTGCCTTCAGCCAGCTGGATTGAAAACTTTCATGAGTGCTATTTCAAGATGTCTATTTGACACATACCATTCTATTGCTACATTGAAATATTTTAAATTTATTAGTAGACAGTTAAATCCTGATTTGTAACACATACTAACATCATAAACTGGATTTCTGTGCTCATGGATAAACGACGGTAAATAAACAACCAAACTAAATTAAAACAAGTATAATCAGTACAAAAGAAATAATGCGAACTACTCTGTCTCTTCCCAAGTTTAAAGAAATAATCCTTTTAATATAACTACAAACACCAGTAAAACTTTTACAGTCACATTTAACAAAATCTACCTCGAAACATTTTTTAATAGTTGAAGTTAGGCATTAACACCGTTGGATGTCAGTTCAGTGGTCTCAAGTTAAAGAATTCGCGCGCAAGACCGAACGTCTTGGTTTAGAATCTGCTGATGAGTCTCATACTAAGATGAAACGGCCGTCTAGTGATTCTAGGTTTTCCGACGGTGTTCTAACTCTAATCAACTCATGAATTCAACCATTAAAATTACTATAATATTCACAAAACCCCTTCTAATAATAATCATCTGCTCACTAGTGACTGACTTCAAGAGGCATTTTATGGAGTTCCAGTGAAAAGCAGTGACCAGTGGAGTCCAACCAGGTCTGTTGTGAGGTATCAGCTCACTGAAGACAATGATGGATGTGTCGCTCAATTTCGTGAATTGGTTGAAGTTAGACATTAACATCATTGGATGCTGGCTCAGTGGTCTAGTGGTTAAGCGCTCGAGCGCGAGAACAGTGGGTCCTGGGTTCAAATCTTACGAGTCGGGATCGTGGATACGCATCACTGTGGAGTCCCACAGTCGGACGAAACGACCGTCCAGTAGTTCCAGGTTTTCTGTAAGGGCCTAACTTCAATTGGCTCATGATCTCAACTATTAAAACTGTCATAATATCCACAAAACCCCTTCTGATATTAAAATTACTTCAATCTCTACAAAACCCCCCTTCGAAAAATATTTTTCATCAAATCGTAAGGAAATACAGTCACATGTTAGCCGGTGACCAACGATTGGTTCATACGCCATTTGTTCCCTTAGGTTACTGGAGCCCATGTTCACCATTGATTTGGAAATAGGGTTTTCCAACTTCCCTAGGTGGACTCTCCATGTCCACCAACCCGGTTAAAGCGCCAGATATTCGCTTTTCGTTCTCTGAATTTCGTAAACAACACTCCTGGTAGGAGATGATAGTGAATAGGACTTCCCTGGCAGAAGCTATATATGCGTGACCATGTGAGAGCATTTCGAGTGGAAGAGCGGACTCTCCTCACCTTCGGCCGTACCAGGGCATTTGGGGGCTATCTCTACTAAATCTTCCAAATAAATGGTCATTTAATAGAACTGACTACACAGAAATTCAATTTCTTTCTATAGAACAACGACAATTAATTAAACAATTCTTGATCATATTTAATTACTCGTTCTATTATTTCTTAAATTTAACTTAATGAAGTTAGATCTGAGTTGAATGATTATTTTTGATGGAGTTTTGTTCTCTGAGCTGGATGGTTTGGTCGTGTTTGAAATTCGAACACTTCACTTCTATCTGAATTTTGTGCTGATGATGTCGTTCAGAAGAACGATGAATGCTCTACGATCAAACCATCCAGCTCAGAGAACAAAACTCCATCAAAATCATCCACCTGAGCTACAAATCTTCACCATCTTTGAATGATAAGTTACATAAAACTATGATTTTGTTCAGTTTTGGATATCGTAATTTATATTTCCTTATAATCAACTTAAGTCTTAATAATTGCTTATATTGAAATATTCAAATTATAACTTTTGTATTGTTATTCTATCATATTAATATTGTTGTTGTATAATGAAGCACACTTTCAATATTCATTCGATTAACTAATCATTTGATAACATATAAATATGTGTTAGATCGTTAAGAGTAATCAAAGTTTACGAATGTAGGTTATATACATCATCGAAAGTCATCAACTGAAAAATGTAAAGTAGAATATCCTCTAATATTCTAATTAAAAGGCCATTAACCATAAGCAATATGTACATTATAAGTATCGCAATGATGAATTCACTAACACTATAAATGTACATACTTGTGACTAGTCTTAGGGATTGATTTTCGGATTTATCATAAGAATATATTAGCCGGTGGAATTCCCCTATATCAAGTATGAGATAAGTGTCATCACTGGGAATAAACAATAGTCCCATAATACGGCGTATGGATTAAAGTTAGAAATTTAAACTACTGGATACTAAAATAGGAGTTCAAATTTTAACGACTAAGAGTACAGAGCTGATTCTACGATGAGATCGTGGATGTATACTGTCAAAGTGTTCCATACTAAAAGTAAATAGATTTTTCACCTAGTCCATCACGTGAAACTTCGAATTTAATAATTTCCATAGCAAGAAAAAATCGTCTTCACATATCTAGATAAGAGAAATATGTCATAGTTCAATCCTAAAAGTGGCAGTACATTTGAATGGATAAAAAGGAATCCGCTGAATTACCATAAAACCTCTTAATACTTGAAATCAATTATATACGTCAAAAATTGTATCATGACTTACCAACGATTGTTGCAAAAATGAATACACCAATGAGGTATGACACAATTGTAAATGTAAGCCTAAAGTTGAGATGAAAATAAAAGGTAATTTGGAGAATCAGTTTTCTATTCATTACTGATGTATATATATATATATATATATATATGCTTACAAATAAAATACGTTGGGATATATTACGTACTAAATCAGTACGACAATAGCTTCAAGTACCTTTTACATTTTAAGTAAACTATTAACCTTATAAATTACCACTAGAAACAGGAAGCTCGATAAAATACAGTTTGGAATTTTGTAAAAGCGAAACAAAATTGTAAACAATATGCTAAAGCATGGTTTCCAAAAATGCCCTTACAACTATATGTGTGACCAGATTGTTCGAATTGTATAGCTCAAACACATTACATTTTTCAGATCAACTACGTCTTCTAATTGCCCTATCGAAATTTATAAAAGGGACTAATTGCTTTAGAGATATTCATTTATTAAAGTGTGAATATTTGTAGGTTGAATGTAAGAATGGTTTAAAGTAAAAAGTGAAAGAATAGAAACACAGTTATTTAGAAATGAGATATTAATGTTATAATTATGTAACTCTTAGAACTAAATTGACTGAATTCAGATCAGATCAGAAGTAAGGATTAATAATCAGTGTCATATGAGGAAAATTTCTTGACCACGTCAAAGGAGAATTGATAGCTGAATCTTTTTGGATGCATGAATTTGGTTAGTTAATTCAACGTTCTTTATTTATTAATTATCTTCAATAACTTTTAGACATCAAAACTATGAATACTGTCAGGTAGATAGAAGGCAATCACACTGCCAAAAAAGTCTTCCTCACAGTCTAGGTTTTTGTGGAATATGCTTAGAAAAGCAAACATTAATCGTCCTTGCTTTTTCTTTCAATGTACGTGCTTTGGGATGTTCATATAAACTGGTAAACACAATTGGAACAAAATAGCTTCGTAATTTTCAATGGTTATCTAACCAACGTAAGATGTGTTACAAACTATGGAATAATTCAGAATATGTGTTAGAAGAAAGCAAATATTTTGTCTATAAGTCATACAAAATGAATTTCTTGTTTCAAATGAAACTGATTAGAGTGTTTCACAGATAAAACAAATTGTTTCAAACTACCATAGATAGAAAGTTTGAAAATTACTTCCATCAACCCAATTCATTCTACAAGACTGCTTAGCCAGGTGAAATATCAAACAAGAATACATCATTTATACCTTTAACTTTTCCAGTTCCTCCGAAGGTTTTTCATGATTAAACTTCTAAAACTCGATTCTCAAATTTAAAACATATATACTTTAATAGGCAAAGATGGATAGTGTCTAGAAATGAAGTCCAGGATGCGCGTTTCGTCCTATTTCAGACTCGTCAGCTGGATGTACCAACATCTCAGAGCTGATGTTCACTCTTGGACTCAAATTTAGTACTATTCGCTTTAAATGCTATTGCGTTATCCACTTAGCTAATAAGTCCTGATAGCCACTTTCTTGTGCGACTGAGTGGAGTTTCAATTCACTTGAATCTTTCCATTGATGTTTAGGACCACTTATAATGCTTGTAAATCAAGAAAATATCGAGGCAATACGCCAGTTTACACACATACTAGTAAGAGACTGATCAATTGCGGTGTTAATCATCTATGGAAAGATTCAAGTAAACAATACCAAGTGAATTTACGAATATACTTTTTACTAGTATAGGGGTGGTGCAGATTATCAAGTTTTTGATTGATATCATGAACCGATTGGTGTTAGAGCACCATTGAAAACCTGGAAGCACTGGACGGCCTTTTCGTCCTATTGTGGGACTCCTCATCAGTGTGCATCCACGATCCCGCTCGCGGGATTCGAACTCAGGGCCTTCAGTCTCGTATGTACTGTATAGCGGATAATTAATTATTATATTTTATTATTACTCTTTAATACTGTACAGTAACACGTTCTGCCGAAATCAAACATTTGATAAGATAACTGCAAACAATATAAATATTTCGAAATAGACAAAGAAAAACAAGAAAACATCTAACAGTTGAGTCTGGAAATTTCATGATATCACACTAGATCAAATCAATCATCTTTAAGTCAATTGGTGAACATAATAACATTGATCCAAAGACTCTTAAATGCTTTTTTTCTATTTTTCATTACAGTGACTACTTTATACAATGTCATGTATGCCTCATTACTGTTTTGATCTATTCAACAAATAACTTCTCTTCAATAAAACATCGAGAAAATCTACCTGGCAAACTAACCATGCAAAGTATATGTTTTAGAAACTTTCATATGTTTTGATGAAAACATGCAAAATAAACAAATTAACCTGATTATATCAAAATTGACTTTTTGTTTTAAAAAAAAACAACAGATAAATAAAAACATGAATGATAGTTACTGAGCACAATTGATTGATCACTGGGTGATGATCAATGTCATGCGTGTCTAGTCCTTATTAGTGCAGATCGAATGCTATCGATCATGTTTCAATGTGGTCACCAGTCTAGGTGACTTGACATTGCGGGCACTATATATTGAGATTTAGATGGTGGTTGGAGGTAGTTACTGAGCACTTTTATCTAAGTTAAAAGTAAGACAGGAAGTAGATCATATTTCTTCTCTTTCTTTTTTTTGCCGAAAAAAGTATTCAATATAAATAACGTCAGTTGCTATAATGAAATTAGTGGTTGTATAATTGATTATTAATCCAATGATACTTGTTAAATGTTATCGGCTTGCCATATAAAACTTTCATAATATTGAATATCAATATTTGTTAATATTAATAATTAGATTTCTTTTTGTAAACATTCTGTAAACTTTAAAGAAAGGTTATTTGACTCATTAATCAAAACCACTCAAAAATCATTAAACTACAAGAAAGTAGAAAGTAGCTGTTGTTTTGTTCTAAGTTATAACTATGTAGTAATAAATCACTGAACTTGTATCTCGCAGAGATCTTAATATTTGTTATACCGGTGAGATATTACGTAATAGTTTACATATTTTAATCTTCAGTCATTTTATCAGTGACTCGATGTTAATTTGATTGCAATGAAATAGAATTGTCTGAGTTAAATGGTTTAATCATAAAGCCTTCATTGTATAAACATTTAGTTTGATATTGTTCCTAATTAACCTGATAAAATAAGTGTCAGCAACAATCAGTTAGCACCAAGGTTAACGTAAATATAGTGTTAGCCAACTATGAAAAAGATTCTCATAACTCACTTCTATCTGTTTGTCTATACTAATGATACTATCTACGAAAAAAAATGAAAGCCTCACAATTAAATCATTTATTCCATTCAAAACAACTATTTTATCAATATTATCCCTTACTAATCATAAATACTCATTGTCCCGAATTGAAAAGGTCTATTTATTTTATAAATATTAATGCAGTATTAGTTGTTATATTCACTAAACTAACAACTTTACTAAAGAGTAAATGTTGATGGTTTTGTTATTTTCTCAATTTTCTTGTATTCAATGTAGCAAGTTCATTTAGATAAGTTCCTCTTTAACAATAATGTTATAAAAGATATATGACACTGACTTAAATCACACTGTTTGACGATATGGGATAAACTATATTTAGATGACGAAAATATCCTTAAAGTTACAGATTATTTGATAAAATTTAGAAAATCTAGATCAATAGTTTCTAGATAATAGAATTAAGAATAATTACCGAATCACGTCTGATGACGTCTTAGTGGTCTAAAGGTTGGATATTCGCGTATGAAACTAAAGGTCCTGGGTTCAAATACTCCTGTCAACGACACCTGGATCACAAATTAAATCAATATTATTAGAATGGGTTTTGTGGAGATTGTAATTTTAATAATTGAAATCGTGAGTCAATTGAAGCTATATCACCATGGAAACCCTGGAAGTACTGGACGGCCGTTTCGTTCTATTGTGGGACTCCTCAGCAGTACACATCCATGACTTCGCCTTGCGAGATTCGAACGTTAGGCCTAATAGTCTCGCGCGCGAGCGCTTGATCACTAGACCACTGAGCTGGTATTCAACAGTGTTAATGTCTAACTTCAACTAATCCACGAAATTCAGCGACACATCCACCATTGTTATCAATGAGTTACTATCTCACAACAGACCTGGTTGAAATGCACTGGTCACTGCTTCTCACTATAACTCCAGAAAATACCTCTTGAAGTCAGTCACTAGTGAGCAGACGATTGTTATTAGAAAGGGTTTATTAACAACCAGTATCTGAAATATTTGTTAATATCTATTGTTTTTAGATTTAACCTAAAACATTTTCTATGTTGTTACGTAATGTAAATAACTTTTAAAGAGAAACTATAATACAGTAATTGGAAATCTATTTTCATAATAATCATTCAAGAACTATTTTATATTAAATGGAAATATTTTTAGGTAGATATTTATTATTTTACATTATTAATGCTGTACATTAGATAAATGCTATTTTCAAAGGAATACAAAGATAACTTCAAGTAGTTTTACTAAATAAAGAACGTTTAGAAACTAGGCATTACTTATTATTGTACCGAATTTACATTCAATCAATTCGATACATTAAAAGATTATTATCACTAGAAATTGGTGATAATCCACGCTTCTGTCGGTTAGTTGTATTCATGGGTAAATAGATATACAACCAAGATATTAATGAATAATTTATCTAGAGTACAATTACAAAAAATACTTTCGGTTATTCATCAAGTTTATACTTTTCATTTGATTGAGATCATGAACCGATTGATGTTAGACCATCTTTGGAAACCTAGAAGCACTGGACGACCGTTTCGTCCTATTGTGGGACTCTTTAACAGTGCGCATTCACGATCCCGCACCCTGCGAGATTTGAACCCAAGGCTTATCAGTCTCGCACACGAACGCTTAACCTACTGGACCACTGAGCCAGCATCCAATGGTGATAGTTTCTAACATCAACCAATCCACGAAATTGCGCGACCATCTTCCCTTTGATTGAAATCTGTTAATCAAGAGATGTAAAGTTATAGCTAATAAAACTGATCAATGATAAT